TCTCTCTCTCACGCACACACATACACACACATACACACACATAGACACACACACACACACATACACACACTCACACACACACGCACACCCAGACACACACGCACGCACACACACACACACACAAACAAACACACCCACGTGCACACTACATCTATTTATCTCTCTATCTCTCTGTATTTCAATCCAATCAATGATTGATATTTTTTTGGAGTTATGTGTTCAACACCCCTTTTAATAACACAGTGACAAAACGCTATAATATAAGAGGCGGGATCTTCGATGTGAATAAGCCTTAAAATGTGTTTTTAAAAATGTTTGATTCCTCAGGCAACTCTCTGACATGAAGAATACCTTCCTCAGAAGACAGATAATTCAAACAAAGAGGCTCGAAGAATGAGATAGGGCAAAACTGACCTCGAATGAAATTCCGAAATCGATCCACACAGCGGGCAAACCAGAGTTCTTAAATGCAGTGCACACTCACTCAACTTTTCGATTTTACGCGACTGGCTCGGATCAGATCGGTGCCTGTTGTGTAGCAGTTATGCTCTTTGCGGTCACACGCAGGAGATCCGAGTTCGATTCCCAAGTGGGGAGAGAATTTATGTCAAGTACCTCGGTCTTTCAGCTGGAATGTTATATTCCTCCTCGATGATTGAAATTGTGTCCGATGGGGGAGGGGGGGGGGAACTTAAAAGCACCTATAATTTTTTTTAAAGGTCCAACTAACGTAGAGACAGGCTGTAATTGCCAACAGTACACTTGTTTAGGTTAATCTTTTACGGCACTTGCACCACAAATAGGAAAAAAGAATGCAGGTGGCGGAGAATAGACGTGTTACAAAAACGAAACACGCGAAACAAAGAAGTGGGAGAGATAAGGACGATGTATGATAGGAACGAAGGAGAAACCACACATGCCAATCGTCCACTTGCAAAGATCGAACAGCCTCGTGGATAAAAGTTTGGCCTAAGTTTGCAACATGGTCGCTGCCTAGATGACTGTTGTCGCAAGTCAATAAGAGAGTGGCTTAGATAAACAGCAACAAAACAACAGCAACAATAACAACAACAAAAATCCCAAAACACAGCAAACACACACGTTC